CGGGAGTTCTTGCTGGGATCGGCTCGGTTGGGAGGGGGGCACAAATCTCGACGTCAGAATTCCGAAAACAACGCGGACCCCAGACGTCCAGACTCACACCTAATAAGCAAGTCGTAACCAGAGCTACAGACACTTAAGGCCATTCACACCCAGGCCCACTCATGCACGGCCTCGCTCAAACCGAGGCCCACGCTCTTCTGATATCCGAAGTGTGGGCTTCTCGTCATTCGTATGACGCGTCCGCCTCCTCTCTCACTCACTCTTCCCCAGGACTGGCGTTTCATCCCGAGTCGTTTGGTTGACAGTTTGAGGGGCGCGGCCAAGGACCCCCACGAGGCCGAAAATTGCGCCAAACTGTCCGCCGTGGTTCTTTCAATGCGAGGGGGGGTGGGGGGAGAGAGACGAGGGGGAAGGAGCACGAGGACGAGGAGGAGAACAAGGAGGACGAGGAGGAGAGGGGGAGGGGCGGAAAAGGGGCGCGGGCTTCGCCCCGAGGTCAAGTACGAGGAATTCACCCAGCTGCTGGGGGCGGAGAAGCCAAAGGAGCTGGGCGCCCATACTCCTCTGGGATCAGTCCCGACCCCGGTTCCGATCCGATGCTTCGTATCCATCGGCGTCCCCTTCCCCACGGAGGACACGCCCCCACTTCCCCTCGTCGCGGAAAATCACGACGGGGGCCCACACTCCCTCACGCTGTTTTCGGCCCTTGGGGGCCCTCACCAGGCCCCAGGAACATCCATGAGTGTCAAAGAGCGAATCGGGACGAAAAGCTGGCCCGAGGGAAGAGGTCCAGATCTCTGAGGGTCCACGTTGCATGGAACAATGCGACGTCGGAGTTCTGGGCAGGCTACGGCGTTCCGCAGGAACTCCTGGTTTGTCTGGACCTGGGCGTCCAGCATGAAAAAAATATCATTGGTTCCCACGCAGATTATAGAACCGCGCGAAACGCAGTCAGCGAGGTGTGCATCCGCGGACGTACCGCACACGAGAGCTTGCAAAGGCAGCTCCTACCAGAGCACCGTCCGCAAGCGTGGGGGAGGGGGGAAGGAACAGGGGCAACGCTACGGGGGGGCAAGCTCAGAGGGGAACGCATAGACCTCCGAACGCCCAGTGATCGCCGATAGGGGCGCGGTAGCCCACCCTGCCCAGGTGTGTGCGGCTTCGCTATCGGGGGCCGATTGCCGATGCATCGGCGATGCAGCGCCGATTCCGGCTCGATACTTCCCCCCGAACCAGTCCCCCCGTCGTCCGCCGTTCAGGCAAGGGGAAGGATGATTTGAGGAGGATGTTGTTCTTCTGCGATCGGTGCAAGTTTGTGGGCGGCGGGGGGTACTCAGGGTCCGCTTCCTCCCTCCTCGTCCGGCTGCTGCCCATGGGCCTCCTCCTCACCTCTCTCCCCCCTTTGTCAGGTGCTGCCACAGATGTCCACAGCCTTGCGCTCGATGTTGAGTTCCCTGGGGACATCTCAGGCCAGGGACACATCTGGCAACACCCGACCCTTGCTGCCGTGACTCCTGATCCTACTGTTCCTCCCCCTCCCCATCTCCATCTCATTTTCGTGCCATCCCGATACCAAATTCCAAATGGTTTCCTTTTCCATATCCGCATCCCTCTCCCCTCCCCTCCTCCGCTTCCTTTAGACCCCCCTTGTCTTCGAGCCAGTATCCAGATTATGACCGAGACGATACCCCCAGCATTTTGATTCCCGCCTCGCTTGAGCTGTTTGATTAGGCCATGTAATGTTACACGCTGGTCGTTGAAAGTATTGTATATTTGGACCCCAGATTCCAATCTAAGTGAGGCGCCTTCCTATTTCAAGGATCGAGTGGTTTCACCTTTCCCTTCCTCTTCAGAGGGTTGGCGGAAGCCCAATCTAGTTCCAACGCCAACGCCTTCATATTTCATGTTTCTACCCACTTCTTCCGACCGATGGGTACGGTTCTATGAAAGAGCGTGTTTTGTTTTCATGTGCGCTTGGGCAGGGAAGGGGGGCTCGGTGCCCCCCACCAAACCGCAAACCCCGCCGCAAGGGGAGAGGGGGTGTTCCAGACCCCTCCCCTAGTACTCGCCCCAGGCAATCGACCACGACCACTACCACAACGGCGACAGCGACGACGAACGACGACGAACGACGACGACGACGACGACGACGACGACGACGACGACGACGACGACGACGACGACGACAACGTCGTCGTTTGCTAGCGGCGAGAAGGGGGAGAGTGTAACCGCACCCCTTGCTCCAGGGTGGACGGGGGGGTCCAGAACCCCACCCCATTGCGCCGGGGGGAGGGGGGAGGGCGGCCCCCTGGTTTCGGAGGGAGGCTCTACTTTTTTGTCGGGGGGGAATTTTCCCAGGCAGGCGGACTCGTAACGCACCCCCTGAACTCTGTGCACACCGCCAGGACGGTCCAGCATGTCCTATCCCCTTTTTCAGGAGAGGTCGAAGGGAACCCCCTCGTGGCGGCTGAACTACGGCGGCGTCGCTCTCGTGGTGTGACGCGCAGGCTCGAGCACCACACGCCTGCGGGGCAATCTGCTGATTTTCAAGGGCCGGGTGCTCCAATTCAGGGGCACCGTTAGGGAGGATTGGCTCAGGGGGGGGGGGGGGCACATCGACACCCAGTCGCCCAGTGATCGCCGATAGGGGCCGCATAGTCCATCCCGCCCAGGACCATGCGGTTGTGGCATCGAGGGCACATCGCCCATGCATCGGCGATGTATTTCCGATTCCAGGTCGATGTTTCCCCCTTGAGATGGTTCCCCCCCCAGATCGTTGCACCTTACCAGTAAAGCGGGCACCGTGTATTGTAGTTGCTATCATTTGCTTGCCCAGGTTGAGCCATGCGAGACAGTTGCACATATAATGCAACCCGCACGTTTCTGGCCAGTGTGTCTGCTTTTTTGTGCCTTGCTGCCCCCACGATTTACCAGACACTCGGCAGCTGCGTGAGCCAGACTCAAGTGTCAGGCCAGCTCATTGGAATTTGGCAGCATTGGCAGTGTGAGACTGGCACGGTTGCTGAGGACCCTTGTCCGTGACGTGTGTTATACAAGCGCACGCTTCCGAATTCGTAGGTGAGCCAGAGGCCCGATGCTTTTCGCAAGTGTTTCCCATCGCTGACGCGTCCTCCGCCGAGAGGAACGGCCCCCCTCCCTGCTCGGAGCGCAGGCTGGCACGTGACGCGCACCCGTTCCGACGGGGTGTCGGCACGGCTGCTCGGCGGCCGAACAGCGCTTCCGCAAAGTTGGATGTGGAGGCTCCCCGTCAAAACTCGGAGCTGAAAGGAAGTGTTGGGCCCGCGGGTAAGGGTCAGATCCTGAACCTGGGGCCAGACCCCAACCTCGGTGGCTTCCATCTGCCCAGGACGACAAGAGTAGAGGAGCGTGCCAGCAGCTGCGGGATGGCGCCACTCGATGATCCTTGTGATCCGATGCAAGGGAGCCTTGCCAGCAGCATCGAGTCGGCCCGACTCGTCGCGCGCAAGTCCTTGAAGCATTATCATGTCTGCGGATCAGTGTTGGCACCGTTGTTTGAGATCGCAGTGTTTCGACACGTCAGTGTCTTTATTGTACGCTCTAAGAAGGCACCGTCGATTCAGGATATCCCCACATGTATTCAATAATAACAGTAGCATGTCACCATGAAGGACTTCCCAAGCCTCCTTCCGAGCCAGCAGACTTCTGATTAGGAAGCGGGAACTATACAGGCACGATCACGTGCTCTGTGTATCGAAGACGGCAGTGTTGTGGCCGAACGTTGTGGCCAGAGCTCTACGAAGTTGTCGGACCATGTGCTCTCCCAGTTGGTGTGGGAACCCTTCGGGGAACACCCAGGGAAGAAAGAAGAAGCGGAGTAGAGGGAGGACAAACATGAAGGAGGAGGGGGAGGAGGAGAAGAAGGAGGAGGAGGAGAAGGAGGAGGAGGAAGAGGAGCAGGAGGAGGAAGAGGAGGCTGAGGAGGAGGAGGAGGAGGAGGAGGACTCTTGGGGCCTTCTGGGACCTTTTTGTGGGCCTCTTGGAGGCCTCTTGGAAGCCTCCTTGGGCCTCTTGGGGGCCTTCGGGGGCTTCTTGGGGGCCTCGTGGGCCGTCTTAGGGCGATCCTGGCCCGTCTGGTGCCGTCGGAAGCCGTTTTGGATGGCTCTCTGAACCGACTTGGGGCCCTCTTGGGGCGCTTTCTTGGGCGCATCGGAGGCTTCTTGGGCCGTCTTGAGGCCCTCTTCGGGCCGTCTTGGAGGCTTCTTGGGGAGTCATGGGGTCATCATGGACGCCTTTGGGGCCGTCTTGGGGCGATCTTGGGGGCCTATTGGGCCGTCGGAAGGCCGTCGGAAGGCCGAAAAGAAGCAAAGGGCAAAAACCTTCGAAAGCCCAACTGATTAAATCAGTGATTTGGGCATCTTCCAGCCCTCCTGGAGGACGACCTCTTGGAGGCCTCTTGGGGGCCTCTGGAGCCGTCTTTGGCCGTCTTGGAGGCTTCTAGGGCGAACTAGGAGGCATCTTGGACTCTCTTGGGCCGTCTTGGATGCCATCTTGGACCATCTTGGACGAACTTGAAGGCCATCCTGGCCGTCTTGGGGGCCATATTGGGCCATCTTGGAGCCATCTGGAGCAGGAAAAACCCGTGCAGCCTGGTCGAACGCAGCCTTCTGGGTGGCCGGCGGCATCGGCCGAAGCCCCAGGGGGAGCCCTTTTGGAAAAGAATCGGCATCAAGCCTTAAGACGTTCAGCACGCCAGGCACCCCTGTGACAAACAGGGGCGGCGGATCCAGTGACTTCCGGGCCATCCCGCCACCGTGCTTGGGTTGTGGGTCCAGGCGCAGCAGGTACGTTCGAAGGCCACAACGTATTCCCAGACATGCAGACATGCTCTTGGCGAGCCCCATGAGAGCTCCTGCCTAAGAGCATGGTTATATCGCGTTGCCCCAGCTTTAAGCCTCTTCGGGGACGTTGGAGGGTCCCTAGGGGCCCTCGTGGGCCATATTTGGGCTATCGGAGGGGCACTTGGGGTTCTCTTCAGGGCTCACGGGCAGAGTGGGGAAGACGGCGCACGGCTTTCCTCATCATCATTATTGTTCGTTGTTGGAGGCAGTGGTGTCATCCTAACGTTGCCTAGCTTCATCATGGTTCGCCTTTTGGTTCTCCCCCATGTCGGGTCCCGACTTGTGTGTACATTCGTTTGAGACCAGGTTCTTTGACAGCTTATGGTTGTTCAGGTGGTCACTCTGTCTTTCCCCAGCGGGCGAACAAACATAACCTCAAAGTTTTCGGGTCCCCCCCCCTCGACTGGTTCCATCCATGATGGATGTGGCCAGAAGTCCCTCTCGGATTTGACTCCTCCCCTTTTTCTGCTTCCCACTAAAGATAATGATGATCTTCAGTCGTTGATGGGCAGCTCGACCGTGCACACATTTTGAAACTACCCATCGGCGATCGAGCCGCCATGGAACGCAACAACACGCATCGCAGCACAGTGTGACTCCATACACTTCAAGAGGAGGAGGCGCAGGAGGGAAGAGAGAGAAGGCTTGGGAGATGCAAAGGGGTCACAGGATACTGAAAGGGCATCTACAAGGTTTTTGGGAGCTTCAGGGCGCTTCGGGGGCGGAGGATTAGAAGGAGGATAAAGACGAGGAACGGGGCCTAGACAATGACGAGGCGGAAGAGTAGATGGGACGAGGAGTAGGACGGGGAGAGGGACGAGGAGGAGGCGGGGAGGGAAGGGAGGGGCAAGCTAGGCGCGAGCGGGAACTGGAGTGGAAGAAGCGGGAGGAGCAGGAAGACCAGGGGAAAGCGGAGGAGGGGAAAGGAGAGAGGCGACAACGATGAGGAAGGATTCGGATCCAGAAAAGTGGCCCGCGCTGGGGCAAGAGCGCCGTTCTGATCGACGGGAGCAAAGCGCCGATCCGAAAATGAGGCCCACGCTGCAGCGGGAGCCCCGTTTTGAAACAGCGACAGCTATCGGATTGTAAACAAAGCCTGTCGAAATTCACCTGTTGTCTAATCCTGTGTTCAAAAACATACTCGCAGAGGGCGGGACATCTTCGGGACAGAGTCAGGGAAGAGAGGACAGCAATATTCACAACGTGCAAGTGTGAAGTGGAGGCAGAGGCGAAGGAGGAGGGTCGGGGGCTGGACAAGGAGAGCGGAAGGAGGGCGGGGAGCCGTAGCAAGATAAGGAGGATGACGAGGAGGAGGGGCGTTCTGAGTGCACATTGGCTCTGCGGCTACGCCCTGGACGTTTGCCTTTTGGCATGATGCCGTCGTCGCGATCATGAGCCTGACCTTCGGCGCCGCTTGAAGATCTGCATGGTCTGCGAGTTCTCTGGCCGTTCCGCGGCCGCTTCCCTCTCCCGCCTTGCCCCTCCTTTGATTTTGCCGTACTTTGCTACGGACGCGTCCCGGCATTAGCCCGACCGCCTGTTGGACCCAACACGCCGCAGACCAAGCAAGTGTGCCGACTGCAACGCGATGCGCTGCGCAGTCACGCTCCATACCGTGGCAGATTGCCTGGAACCGATGTGTGCTACGACACCTCTGGCTTAGTCGAATCACTGATAACGGTCTGGTCTACATTTCGGCACGCTGGCTTCTGGCCGTCTTCGCCGGAGGGTCGGAGGCTGAGACCGAAGCGAATCGGAGTCGCCCAAGCGCGAAGTCGGTTTCGGTTCGTGTCGCGTCTGCGGGCGAGGCGACGCAGCACGAGTTCTTGCACATAGGGCCAGGTCACGCCAAAAGGAGCCGCTTCCTGGGGCACCTGGGGGCGTTCCTGGGGTTGTCCCGCGGTTCTCCCGAGGGTTGTCCCAGTGGTTATCCTGGTGGCTGGTCCCGACGGTTACTCCGGTGGTCGTTCTTCTGGTTGATCTGGTAGTTGTCCCGATGGTTGTCCCGATGGTTGTCTTGCTGGTCGTCCTGCTGGTTATCCCGTGGTTGTCCCCATTGTTGTTATTACGCTGGTTGTCCCGACGGTTGTCCTGCTGGCTGCTGGCTGCCCTGCTGGTTGTCTCTTGGTTGTCCCGTGATTGTCCTGTGGTTGTTTGGCGGTTCCGTCAAGTGGTTGTCCCGTGATTGTGTCGCGGTTGTTCGTCTGTTTTTCCGTGTTTGTTTTGTGATCGTTTTGCGGATGTTCTGTGGTTGTCCCGCGGTTGTCCCGACGTTGTCCCGTGGTTGTTTTGTGGTTGTCCCGTGATTGTTTTGTGGTTGTTCCGTGGTTGTCTTGTGGTTGTCTTATTGGTTATCTTGTGATTGGTTGGTGGTTGTTCTGTTGTTATCCCGTGGTTGTCCCATGGTTTTTCCGTGGTTGTCGAGGGTTTGTCCCGTGGCTGTCGATCGATAGATGGTGAGGCTAATATATAGCGACACCGATACATTGACAGTGAGATCGATAGGTTGATTGGCAGAGAGATCGGTCGATAGACAATGAAACAGCTAAATAGTCGAATCGATAGGAAGTGAGACCGATCCATAGACAGCTTGCGAGCTCGACCCGACGCCAATCGCAAA